TCAAATTCGATTCAACTAAAGTTGGAGAAACAGACACCCGCTAGCCACGTTTATGCAAAACTAGTTGCATGTCTGTCGGCGGAACCGGTCTCATGAATGTGGTCATGTAAGGATGGTCTGGGCCGCTTCATCCAACAATACCGCTGAATCAAAATAAGACGTTGGTGGTAAGCAATATGACTATCACCGCCCAAAACTCTTTGTGTTCTACTCGTGCATATTATATACGCATAAACCTGGCTCTGATACCACTGTTGGGGAACGTAGCATGCAATTTCAAAAAAATTCCTACGCTCACGCAAGATCTATCTAGGACATGCATAGCAACGAGAGGGGGAGAGTGTGTCCACGTGCCCTTGTAGACCGAAAGCGGAAGCGTTTGTTCAACGTGGTTGATGTAGTCGTACGTCTTCTCATTCCGACCGATCAAGCACCGAAAGTATGGCACCTACGAGTTCTACACACGTTCAGCTTGATGACGTCCCTCGAAATCTTGATCCAGCAAAGTATCGAGGGAGAGTTCCGTTAGCACGACGGCGTGGTGATGGTGATGGTGAAGTTATCCATGCAAGGCTTCGCCTAAGCACTACGTGAATATGACCGGAGGCGTAAACTATGGAGGGGGCGCCACACAAGGCTTGGAACAATTGTGTGTCTTAGAGGCGCCCCCACCCCTGTATATAAAGGGGCGAGAAGGGAGGAGGCCGGCCCTAGGCGCGCCCCAAGTGGGAGGAGTCCCACTTGGGCTCCTAGTAGGATTCCCCCCTTCCTTTTATTGGAGGGGGAAGGGGGAAGGAGAGGGAGTGGGAGAAGGAAAGGGGGCGCTGCCCCCTCCCCTAGTCCAGTTTGGACTCCTCCCGGGGGTTGCTCCACCCCTATGTGGGCTGGTTTGCCTCCCTCCTATGGCCCATATGGCCCATATCTTCCCCCTGGGGGTTCGGGTACCCCCCGGTACTCCGATATGTACCCGATACATTCCGGAACACTTCCGGTGTCCGAATACTATCATCCAATATATCAATATCTACCTCTCTACCATTTCGAGACTCCTCGTCATGTCCGTGATCTCATCCGGGACTTTGAACAACATTAGGTCACCAAATCACATAACTCATAATACAAATCATCATCGAACATTAAGCGTGCGGAGCCTACGGGTTCGAGAACTATGTAGACATGACAGAGACACTTCTCCACTCAATGACCAATAACAGAACCTGGATGTTCATATTGGTCCCTACATATTCTGCGAAGATCTTTATCGGTCAAATCGTAATGACAACATACGTCATTCCCTTTGTCATCGGTATGTTACTTGCCCGAGATTCGATCGTCGGTATCTTCATACCTAGTTCAATCTCGTTACCGGCAAGTCTCCTTACTCGTTCCATAATGCATCATCCCGTAACTAACTCATTAGTCAGATTGCTTGCAAGGCTTATTATGATGTGCATTACCGAGAGGGCCCTGAGATACCTCTCCGATACTCGGAGTGACAAATCCTAATCTTGATCTATGCCAATCCAACTAAACACCTTCGGAGATACTTGTAGAGCATCTTTATAATCACCCAGTTACGTTGCGATGTTTGATAGCACACAAGGTATTCCTCCGGTATCCGGGAGTTGCATAATCTCATAGTCAAAGGAATATGTATAAGTCATGAAGAAAGCAATAACAATAAAACTTAACGATCATTATGCTAAGATAACGAATGGGTCTTTGTCCATCACATCATTCTCCTAATGATGTGATCCCGTCCATCAAATGACAACACATGTTTATGGTTAGGAAACTTAACCATCTTTGATTAACGAGCCAGTCTAGTAGAGGCTTACTAGGGACACTGTGTTTTGTCTATGTATCCACACATGTATCAAGTTTCGGTTAATACAATTCTAGCATGAATAATAGATATTTATCATGATATAAGGAAATATAAATAACAACTTTGTTATTGCCTCTAGGGCATATTTCCTTCATATTTAAACCCTAATCCAACCTATCTGGAAAAGTAGTTTTGCTAGCGATTTTGAATGCACACAAGTATTTTTCTCACCATTTCAAATGTCGTGGAGAAACATAATGATCGGTTAAAGCTCAGGAGGAATGCATGTGGAGATATAAGTGTGAGCCCTTTTATAAAGTGTATCGCGACTGTTCGACTGCTAGCCTGTGGGTATTCTGCCGATGCCGTTGATGACTATGTTCGCATTGGAGAAGGTACAATCTTGGAGGCTATTCAAAAGATACATAAGAGTCTTGATTGATATATTTGGGCTGGAGTACTTGAGGGAAACCAATGAGGAAGACACCAAGAGGCTGTTGGCATTAAGGGCATGTTCGGAGGCTCTCTAGCTCCACGCTTCACAGATTCCTGGAGGGGAGCTGAGCCGAACGAATTACCGCCAAGAAGCTAGAAGTGAGAAGCTCAACCGGACTCCGGTGTAAAAACACGGAGTACCAAAAGCCCAGCTCCATCGATTTGGAAAAGGAGAAGTTCACCGAATTTACAAGGAGCTGCCATCACCAAGTCAATTCAGATCGAACCGGTATGCTCGCTGTAACAGATCACTCCTCACTCCCTCGATGGAATCGGTACGAGGGCTCCTTCTCTCGCTGAACCGCCAAGTTGGGTTGCCTCCAACCGGCCCAAACTGGAGCCCAACCAGGCCAGCTAGCTCCAGATGGGCTGCACCGCTGGGAGAAGCCACTAGAGCTCCTGAACGCTTTCCCATCGCTATGTGAGTGAGAAGCTACGTGAGGAAGCGGAATTTGGGAAGTTTTCAGAAGTTGGAGAGCCTCTGAACATGCCCTAAGTGAAGAAATAGGATGGCCTAGGAGGGTAGGATCAATTGATTGCATGCACTGGAGATGGAAGAATTTTCCTGCAAGGTGGAAAGGTCAGCACAAAGGCCACTGCAACCAATCCAACAATCATTCATGACTCTTGACGCTATTGCATCGGAGGATCTATGGATTTGACATTCATTACTTGAATTGCCTGGACCTCATAATGACATGATGTGCGTTCGAGATCACCACTGTTTGCTAGGCTTGTTGCCGAAGAGGCTCGTTCTTACAACTACAAGGTCAATGGCCATGAGTACACAGTGGGTTACTACCTTGCGGATGACATATATCCTCCATGGGCCACATTTGTCAAGACAATCTCACATCCAAAAGGTGTCAAGAGTCGATGATGAAGGATGTGGAGAGAGCTTTCTGTGTGCTTCAGAAGCGCTTTGCCATCGTTCGGGCCCTGCCGAGTATTGGAAGCCCAAGGTTCTGTGGAAAATCATGACATGCTACATCATCTTGCATAACCTGATCGTCGAAGATGAGAGAGGCATGTCCGAGAACTATCTATACATCACCAATGTGAATCCTGTTGAGCCGGAGCACGACGCAAATAGGATACAAAGACTCCTCACGGCACATCACAGGATCAAGAACCAAGAAGTTCATCCCCATCTCCAACATGATTTTGTTGAGCACCATTGGCATTTCCATAGCACTTCGTAGTTGTGCTTTTATCATGCTATTCACTTCATTGAACCCTTTTGTGTGTTTGAATTTGGATAATTTGGTTTGTACACTATGAATTTGTAATATCCATGAATTGTGTGAAGCTTAATTATTATGTTTGGATTTAATATTAGTTCAAATATTTAATATGTGTGCAAACTAAAATTGTTTTTTTTGGCAAAAACAATTTTTTACTCCAAGTTTAGGGGATCGGTTAGAAACGACCAATTTTTAAAGGAGTAAAAGTACTTCTCTAAATGATACTTGACCGTTCACTCCTCTTAGTTTTAGGGTATTGGTTAGAGTTAGTCTTAGCCCATAATCCCCTATAGTTGTCGCAAATCTCGGGTTGGATGTTCGGCTTCTCTCAAGCTATCCACGGACACGTGCTGACGCATCCACGAACATTGTGCGGCGTTGGAGTTGCCCTTAAGCCGCTAGTTAAAAGTTTTGCCTGGTTTCGGTGATGGAGAGACGATGATGATGACATGGCTTCAGCTCGCTCCGGTGCTGTAGTCACCGTTAGGTGGTCTACAGACCTCCAAATAAAATAAATTAGCTGTAATAATCACATCAAATAAAAAAGGTGGAAAATAAAAATAGATGAAATAGCAAAAGAATACAAAGTTTCGAACTCACAGCTTAATAGATAATTGTGCTAACCAGGACGATACCATAATTTCTTTATTTCTTCAACTTTGTTGGTGTACATGAGTATATATGTGCATTTTTCACACCCACTAATAAATTATGGAAAAAGTAAAAACATTCATATTTTCTGTACTGTCACGCTATTGTGTGACCTCATGATATCTCATTACATGGTAGGAATATTTTCTGTAATGTCATCACTGCATTTAATGACATTGATAATGTTATTTATCTAAAACTGGTGTGTGACTATATGGTAGGAATATATCACTTTCCAGTTCTGGTGCTTCCTATTTTTCTAAAACTTGCCAAATATGAATGTTGGGAGACCTATTTTTCTAAAACTTGCCAAATATGAGTGTTGGATGACCTATTACCTCGTTCAATCTAGACCCTTGGATCAGAAATAATGGTGGGTCCTTAATAGTTGGGACCATCTTAAAATTTGCCTTAATGTAATTGCTATGCTCTGTGGCCAGCATGACAGTGGCATCTAATCCCACTCCGAGAGATAAGATCGATTTCCCCACCTTTCTTCCTTGCAATCTTTGTGAACACACTCGCTGCTGATAGGCATCCATGACCCAACTTTACCCGACCCATCATAATCACAAGACAAGGGTTCCCATCCATAAAGTACAGACCATGGAACCCGTCTCTACCCCCTTTGCGTCGGCTTGAAAACTTCTTGGCGGGTCCCGAACCGATAGTGGAAGATTTCAAAATTTTCCGCCTTCAACCGGGCAGAAAAGCAAGCGGAGAGAAGACAGGCCACGCCCGGAATCCTCTTTCCTCCTCTTTCCTGCCATTTCTACTCCCAGATGGCGGCTGACATGGCTTCGGGCTGCGCCAAGAGGAAGCATGGAGGGGAGGCGAGGTGCCGGTGCAGATGCCGCCATGTCCACGTCCACTACCAGCTGCCGCCCAGGCGGGTCTCGCTTCTCCGGTGGCTGCCTCGCCCTCGCCTCTCGCTGCTCTTCTCCTACCTGCTGATTCCTCCCGTGCTCTTCTTCGCCCTGCTTGCCTTTGTGGTGTCGTTTCTCTGCTTCACCTTGCTCTACTTCGTCGCCTCGCTCTTGAGCAAGGATGACAATCTCGATTCCGTCAAGAATGGCGGCATCGGCCCTGCCAGCGACGTCGAAGACAGTGGGCAAGAGGGGAATTCAGAGGCGAAAGGGGAAGCTGCGAGGCATGTGGCGGAACACCTGACTGGTGATTCTGCTACGGCTGAAAATTCTTTCAGGAGACTCGAGATAAAAGAGGTGCGTGCTGGTGGATTCTCTCAAGTATCTTGGAACATATCAAAGATGGCTTCATCCGATGGTTGCCTCGATTACGAGGTGCCGGTGCGTACCAACGACGATAAACTGGTCCAGGATGTGAATATCTTCGAGACAAGCAGCGCCATGGCTGATTTAGAGGAATTTTCCGGATGGCGTCAGGTACAGGATGTGCCGGTCGATTGGTTTGTGGATGAACACAACATCAGAGTGGCCAGCAGTAGCACACCAAGTGATTTATTTCCATCTCTGTATTCCACTGATTCAGCTGAAATTCATGATTTGCCTGACATGGACGAACCGAGAGGGATGTCACTGGACTTTCTTGCTGAAAGCAAGCAAAATATGGTTGTGCCATCAAATACTTCGTCTCATCATCATAGTATCAGCGACGAATATGGTGAAGACTATTGTGACGATAGGAAGGAGTTATCAGCTTGTGGTACATATGAAATCATTGATTTCATTGACAAACACGAAACAAGAGACCAGGCACCTGACGGTTCTTTTGTTGAAGATGAGGAAACCGGACAGTTTGAATCCTCAGGTGAAGGGAGTACCCAAGAAAAGGATGCAAATAGTGTACTTGAATCGGTTGTTGATAGCATAGCGACTCTGGAAGATTTTCGTGGAAAGCAAGAAGTACAAAAGGTGCCCGAAGTTCTGATCACGGAGGCAAATGCAGAGCAGAGTGTTGGCGCTTCAAACGAAGTTCAGGATTCCAGCAGCGAGAAGGAAGCATCAATGGTGTCACTCCATTCTGTTTGTGAAGATACAGCCTTCTCTGATGTTCCATCCAACCATTATTTTTGTTATGAAGATGACAAACAGGAAGAGGTTACCAAACACAGCACAGCAGAGGCACCCGATCCTGCATCTGCTGTAGTTTGCAACATCTTTGAGAACCGTCAGACACCAAAAAGAGAGGCATTTGATGGTTTCCAGAATGACGACGAAGCCAGAGAGGTGGCCTCACAGGAGAGTCTGGGAGATGAAGCTGATCAAATTAACGATGACTCTGCCTCGGAGGTGAGTCAAAAGAGCCTTTTGTTTAGTTTTCTTCATTATAAGTAAGCTGTCGGCTGAAATTTTCCCGGGTTCATGTTTCAGTTGGATTTGAAGGGAGCGCATTGTGGAGCGCCACTTCTGAGGAGGTCCCCATCACAATGGTGGAATTTATGTGGAGTCGTTGATGTGTTTGCTGGCTCCGGGGATTAAATGAAAGGTGATGCTATTCATGGCTTCCTCTGGTCCACTCCGTTTGTCAGGCTTCCGTGTTTTGTAACTTCATAAAGTGTTTTCCTTGTCGATAAAGTCAAGACAGCTATGCTTGAATCAAGCTGCAGTGCTTTTTCCTTGAAAGAAATGTCTGAAACTAGGATAACATAGCAACAATTATTTTCATTGTGATGAATTGTCCTTGCATTGTGAATTGTCATGACTGCGAAAATGTATGTGTGAATTGCTTGACCTATTCACTTAAAACAAACATATACTCCCCCGTCTCAAAATAAGTGTTTGTACTAAATCAAAGACACTTAGAGCAACAACAACACGCAGACCCATTTCGTACACACATGTCCGTTTGGGTCAAAAATGGACACAAAAGTCGGCATGTCCGTTTGGGTCAAAAACGGACACAAAAGTTGGCCCAAGTGCCGACCCAAACGGACGTGCTTCCGCTTTTTGTCTGCCTGCCGACCCATTCCTGGCCCAAATTTGAGCCTCGTTTGCATCGACGCGGACACGAAACGGACGCGCACGATGCCCGCCTACTCCTCCCCCTGGCCCGCCCGTCAGTGGATCCATTCTCTTCCTCCCACCGAAAGCACGCCCCCGGACG